ACTATTGGACGATGGAGGGAGAATCCCAAGTTTTCGAGTGTGTTCCAGTGACTTTTCTTTTTTCAGATGGGGGGATGGCCGAGGGAGGAGGGGGGGGGAATTAGTAGTTGCAGAGGTAGTATGAGAGGGAGAGCGAGGAGAGAAAAAAAGAGGCGATGCGGAGGCGGGTCCCCCGGTGCCGGACTCGTCAGCAGTGTGTTGAGGCGAGAAGCTACTACAGTAGGAGGAGCCCATTTGGGCGAGCATCTGATTTGAGGCGACTTGGTTTCGAAAATCAGCGGCAGCAGGGGGGTGGAGGAGAGGAGAATCGACGCATCATAAAATAGGGACGTGTGAGTGTGTGTGTGTGTTGGTATCCGGATTGACGCATCTGTCTGATGATGATGTTGTTTTGTCTTTGATGTCTTTTTCTGTTTCGATTCTTTTCTCTGCCCCTGTTTTTTGTTTTTCCCTCCCACAAAGCGAGACGCCTTCGATGCCGATACGAACAAAGAGGTGCGTTTAGGTTGGTACATGAGAGGCGGCGGGTTCCGGGCCCGGCTCTAGACTGTCCAATGGAGGAGCAGCAAAGGGCGCGGAGCTAGTTTGAAAGACGACGCTGCAATAACCAATTAAGCGTATGGAATCAATAAATCTGACAAAAAAAAGGGGGAGGGGGAGATGATTGTCGGGTGGGATGTAGAAGGCGAAAAATAAAACACAGATGAAGGAAGTCTTGGTTCTGGCTGTGATTCGTGGTTGTGAGTGAGCCTGTCTGTGAATAACCTGTTTGGAGAAAGAGAGGACAGAGGGCCAATTAGCCTCAATTTGGACATATCTGGATGCCCACAGCTTTTTTGCAGGTGCTGGCAGAGGGGCAGTGCCGAATCCGGGCTGGGATTTTTTTGACGGGCGCCGCGTTTTCTTCGTGTCGTTGCGGATATCGTCCGTCTGAGACAGTACGAGTAGGTACGAGTACACGTACAGTAGGACTCGGGCAGGCATGTATCGCTCGAAGCTGGTTGTTGATTGCAGGTACTCGTAGGTGCTTGCTTGTACGAGTCGAGTCATCGTGACAAGGGCAGCCAGCCATCATTGGAAGTCAAAGCGTCCGTCTTCCCGCAAGTTCCAGCTTCCGAGTCTAGTTGTTCAATTTTATTTCTTCTTCTCTCACGACAGCTTACTGCATGCATGTACCTTGCCTGGCTGGACCTGGAGCCTGGCCCGGCCCTGGAGGGGACTGGCAAAACTAAGTTCGGCGAGGAGGGGGCCGCTAGCAGGCCGCTTCAGAGCCTGGACACGGGCGTTTTTTCTTGGGGGGGTCCCTGGCGGGTGCATTCCATTCGTCTCCTGAGTGAAGATTGCAACGGATGGGATTTGATTTGGGTTTTGTCTGGGTCTGGGGATTGACGTGCGGTGCGGTACTCGTGCTTGTGGCACGTGGGATTGCGTTTGGGATTGATATTTCGCGTGCATCAGTGTCGTGCAAAGATGGACAGATGGACTACCAAGTGATCAATGGATTGATTGATGGGCAGGTCGCACGGAAACTCCAGAGTCCCAGGTTGACGGACGGCCTTATCAATTGAGCTCAATGCCAGCTGCGCTGCTGCTTCGAGGCGATGGATGCGCTGTATTACAGGCCATGGCGCCCCGTCGCCGGCCGAGGCCACCCTGTTGCTGCTGCGTCCAGCGAGCCAGCGCCAGCCAAGCGCCGCCCCAGCAGCCCAGCCCAGCCCAGCCCAGCACAAAACCTGAACCCACTCTTCCCTTCTCTCTCTTCTTCGCCTGCAGGGGAAAAAAAAAAGCTTGCCTCTTCCTCTTTCTCTCTCCCACCACACAAAAGCGAACCCCGTCAAAGCCTCTCTTTTGACGATCTCACGCAAGAAGACGACCTCTTTTTGCCCACCGACGACCGACGATAGCCATCATCGTCCATCGATCCAGCATCGATCCCACGGCTCTGCAACGGCTGCCCGTTTGACGGGACTTTTCAGACGCGACGACTTCGGGCTTGTTGTTTAGCTGCGCCCACGGCAATAAAGGACGCTGAGAGCAGAGCACACGAAGGCACACGAACGCCCCCCCGCGAGAGGCCATCCCCATAACTAGGACTTTTTCCCCCCCCAGCGACGAGCCCTTTTCGAGGCCACCCCAAACGGCGACGAACAGCTGCATCACCCCTTCAGCGGCTTTATTTTATTTCGTTTATTTTACGCCCATCCAGAGAGCACAAGCCCATCGCGCGTTTAGAACCCTGTTTCTCATCCGCTGCGCCCTCTCTTAGTCTCTTTTTTCCCTCTCGCGTTTGGTCTCTGAAGCCATTTGCCGCATAGCTGTGAGTTTTTCGCCCTTTTTTTCATCATCCCCCCACCTGGCGATGGCGCGCTCTCTCGTTCTACTCTTCGGGACCGAAAAAGCAACCATCTTGCCGGCGATTGTCTGCTCTGCTCCCCCTCATTTTGACGAGAGAAGGAGGGACGGAGAGGGAAAGGGGCGGCGTGATGGAATCACCACAACGGCAATCGTCTTTGGATGGGCCAGATTGGGATCGCTCCTGTCATCGGGATGCTGGTCTGACTACCATCACGCCCTTTTTTCACCCCTCTTACTCTTCTTTTTTCTCGAGTTGGGAGGCAACAAATTTCCCCTCGATGACTAAACCCAAGCCATTGATGGTTCTCGTCTATTCTTCTTCTAACGCTCGATGGCAGGATTATCTCTCAATTATCAAAGTGCATATTGTCTAGTGTATCATCATCTGTCGTACTGCTCTCTTTTTTTTTCCTTCTCGAGGGCCGCATCATTTTGCGCATCGGCCTGCTTTCTAGCACGCCCTCCCTTCTCTTCTCCCGCGATTTCTTTGACGCGCAGCCTCTCTCGGCTTATTAATTCGATATACACGAACCGTCTCTCCCACGGGGAGCATCTATAAGATGGCTGACCAACACGAGGTCGATCTCGATTCTATAATTGACCGGCTGCTCGAGGTCCGAGGTAGCCGGCCTGGAAAGCAGGTCCAGCTTCTCGAGACTGAGATTCGCTTCCTCTGCACTAAGGCTCGCGAGATTTTCATTTCTCAGCCCATCCTCCTCGAGCTGGAGGCTCCCATCAAGGTAGGGTCAAGTTGCCGTCACGTCGCGTCCCCTTTGTCGGGGAGGAATGCCGATCCAGTGGTGATGCTGACTCGATGCTTGGGCAGATCTGCGGTGATATCCACGGCCAATACTATGATCTTCTGCGTCTCTTCGAGTATGGTGGCTTCCCCCCCGAGGCCAACTACCTCTTCCTAGGTGACTACGTCGACCGTGGCAAGCAGTCTCTCGAGACCATCTGCCTCCTCCTCGCCTACAAGATCAAGTATCCCGAGAACTTCTTCATTCTCCGTGGCAACCACGAGTGCGCCTCCATCAACCGCATCTACGGCTTCTACGATGAGTGCAAGCGACGCTACAACATTAAGCTCTGGAAGACATTTACCGACTGCTTCAACTGCTTACCCATCGCCGCCATCATTGACGAGAAGATCTTCACCATGCACGGAGGTCTCAGCCCCGATCTGAACTCGATGGAGCAGATTCGTCGCGTCATGCGCCCCACTGATGTACGTGCTTCCTCTCTCTCGGTGGCTTTCTGCCCACAGAAGAATCCGGTTTCTCTCTTCTGTTGTCTCTCAAATCTGCTCCGTCCGCCCCAACCAAGGGCAGCTCGTGCTCTAACTTGCTGGGACCGTCCGCTAACCTATCCACGCCCTTTAGATCCCCGATTGTGGACTGCTGTGTGATCTCCTGTGGTCCGACCCCGACAAGGACATTACCGGTTGGAGCGAAAACGACCGTGGTGTGTCCTTCACCTTTGGTCCGGACGTGGTGTCCCGTTTCCTGCAGAAGCACGACATGGACCTCATCTGCCGTGCTCACCAGGTCGTGGAAGACGGCTACGAATTCTTCTCCAAGCGTCAACTCGTCACCCTCTTCAGTGCACCCAACTACTGTGGCGAATTCGACAATGCAGGTGCCATGATGAGCGTGGACGAGAGTTTGCTCTGCTCATTCCAGGTTTGTGCAATCCCACCCAAAGGCCTTTCAGACAACCCTACATCTGGGAGAGTCTTTTTTTTTTCATTTCTTTCTTCAGACCTCGGCTAACCTTTCCTTTCCCCCCTGATTAGATTCTCAAGCCTGCTGAGAAGAAACAAAAGTTCGGACGGCGTTGAACCATCGGGGGATGACCTTGTTCGGTCTCTCGACCGAGCACGATCCATCTCGACGACCCAACACCGCCGACTTTTCTTTTTGACTCTCCGACTCTCTTCATACTCTGCAACCTCTTGCGTCGCACCGTCGCTGGGCCCTGGTGGCGAAAACGGGTTGCCTAGAGAACTACACGCCGAGCCCTTCCTGCATTAATGTACCGACTCGGCGGTTAGCTCGCATCGCCTCTAATGTCCCAACATGCAAACTTCGTCACGACAAATGGCTGTTTCTTAGCTTCACAGATCAAATCATTCACAGAAAAAAAAATACATCATGATGTCACTTTTAAACTTTTGCTGTCCCGACACGTTTGGGCAGAGCTTCTCTGGGCGTGCTTTGTGAATGACATGACGTAGTCGTGCTCTGGACCGTAAACGATGGGGGTGTCTGCTGTGTAACGTGTGTTTTGATCCATGTGGCTTGGAAGGAATGGGGTGAGTTCGTATCCATGCTTTTTTGTTACCTCTGCCACGAGAGTGGCTAAACGCACGGGTCCTTGGCAGAGCTCCAACTGACGGAGTAGTGGATGAAGTGTATATGTCATTTGATGTTTCGTATTGTGAAAGCTTCCAGAAGAAAAGTAGAAGGTGACAATGCTACGTCAGTCCTCGGTTCCGGTGTTACTTGTTCCTTTGGTATCTTGCTCATCCAGATTGCCTCTCTCCACACAGCGTTTTTGCTTTCTTTTGATATCATACATGAGTTTTTTTTTTCTCTCTCTCCGATGCCTTTTTACTCCTTTCCATCCTCGAAGATGCCCTCCTTTTAAGTGCAGTCTTCGCATACAATGGTTGATGAGGCCTGTTCTTGCTTTGCTGGCTGTTCCGTAGCAGAAACAGTCTCTTTCGCTGGAACGGCCTCTTTTACCTTAACGGCCTCTGTAGCCGGAGGAGGAGGAGCAGCAGCAGCGCCGTGATGGCGGTCGACGTGGCCCAGGTCCCGGGACGGGTCGATGACGTCCCTGACGCGACGCTTGAGCTCCTTTGTTTCGGGGAAGCCGCCGTCTGTTTTGCGGTCCCACAGGGTTGTGGACTGGACGGATGCTGAAGATGATGCTGAAGGTGATTCTGGGGAGGTGAAAAGGTGGTGGATGGTGACGATAAAGGTTCCGCCGGTGGAGGGCTGGAGGGCGACTTCGCCGAGGGAGAGGGAGAATGTGGAGAGGAGTTCTTGGGCGAACTGTGAGAGTTAGTTTGTGATGAGGAACGAAGATGGAATGAGGAAGGCGTACGTAGGCAGCTCGCAGCATCCATTTGCATTGAGTGCAGAACTGGATGGTTATGCGTGGGAGGGGAGCTGTGACGGCGGCATGGTGCGGTGGTTGAGATGTTGTGGATGTTGATGTAGACATTGGTGCTGAGTGATTTTGTTCTTCTGGGAAAAGAGCAGGTGTGAGTGTAGCTCCAGGTGGTAAATAAAATCAATATATCTATCTTGTGGTGAATATCGATACATGAGGCGAGTGATGATTACGGAATGGAATCTTTGGGTTACGGAGGTCCGGGTTCGGGGGGCGGGCTTGTTGTAGTGCTTTATGTGGAGAACGTGTGCTTGCTTTTTTTGATTACCTTGCTACTAATGAATTGAGCGACTTTTGCTCTTTGCTTGTCGTGAGCAAACATTGAATAAACTAGTTCTTTCTTCTTTTTCTCTTGCATGTTTTTACGCAGCAGGGCAAAACAACATGTGAATTCTGCGTGTGTAGTAGACAAAGACATGTGATGCTGCCTTACCTTGAGATTGGCAGGTTCTCATCTTCATGGACCTCACGTGCACAGACATCAAAACAAAAGAAGAACACCACACAATAACTCCGACTTACTCTTCTAATATCCATGAAAATCTGGTCTTTTCAATGCGGCAATTTAACGCGTCTGTTAAATATCTTGCTTGGTGTAATCATGCGCGATTGCCGCGTTTTGGTGCAAAGAGAGCGATTATCACGCGTGTAGTATAGGGTACATCTACACGGTATCACGCACGACAAGGCACTTTACGATTTTTTTCACACACTTCTATCCAAGTCAATTCAGAATCCGGCCGTCAAAATTATCTACACCCGCGTAACCAGCGGCACTATACACCGAGTCCTCCGACAAATCCAACTTCACAAAAAAAACAAAAAAAAAAAAAAAACACCAGCCACGCGCAATAGACCTCTCCCTCGTCACCCCATCACACACTCTCTCCTCATCCGCAATGCATGGAAAGAAACAGCGAGTCAACGTAGAAACAGACGCGTATAGGGGAGCCACTCAATTGAACAGAACAGGACAATAGAGAAATCGGGAATTAATACATGCTAAAAGAGGCCGGCTTCCTCCCCCCAGAAGAAGAAGAAGAAGACCGTGGACCCCTTTATCTGGATATCTCTCTTTCCTCCACCCCACCCCATCCTGCCTAGAAGAAACCGCTCGACTGCTTTATTAAAAAGTAAGAGAGAGCTGAAATAAGTAGTAAAAAAATAATAAACTCGTTGAGAAAAGCGAGCGTGAGGGGCTTTCCTCGGTCACAGACAACCTTTTGCTTCCTCCTTCCCCCCATCGCCTCCTCCCCTCCCCCCAGCATTGATATAATCATTTGAGACTGCGTCGATCCAGCTCAGAGTCCCGTTCTAGTTTCTCGTAAAGGCTTTCCGGACCAGGTGTTTATTGTTTTGAAATGGTGTTGTCGGCGTGACGAATTCGTCGCTCGCTGTCCGAGTCCAGCTGCGTGGCGTTTGTAAAATAAAGAGAGAGAGAGAGAGAAATAAAACCCATATCGCACTCAAGGGGAAAAAAAAGAAAAAAGGTCCCGCGCCAAGAATTCCTCCCAACAAAGTCATCATCGATTGTCGTTCCTTAGGGAAACAGAATTACATGACGACACAGCAGCCGCCGGATTGCTGGGGAGCATAGGGATCCTCGCCCTTTGGTACGGTTCCCCATACTGAAGGAACCATGTAGTCTCTCGTACCATTGCAGTAAGCGATGATGCTGCAGCCGTCGCGTTAGCCTCGTGTCCCCCCTGCCCGGCAGTGGCCGTGATGCGTCTTTTTAGCTCTTACCTCTTGGAAGCGGTGCTGACGGGAATGCGTTCCCGGTCCAAATCCTCGCGTAGTCTGTTGTTGAGCTCCGTTAAGCGCCTGAGCTTGAGGTCTGCCATTGACTGCTTCGTCTTCTTAATCTGGGTCGGGTCGCCGACATCACGGGAGGTGTACTGAGGCATCGTAACGGTACGTTAAGAATAAAAGAATGACTATAGAGTTGGATTTGACCGGAGTCGGGGGCGGTGAGAGTGATTGAATGGCTCGCAGACTCGTCGGTCGGGGCGATGAATTGTGTTGACGGAGTGTTTCGAGAACTGCCTGCAGTTGCCTGGTTAGCCTCGATTTCATCTAGGCAACTATCGCCAATCGGTTGCTTCGGTGGATGCGCGATGCTAAATGGAACAAAGAATTGCAGAAAATCAATCAGAGACGATGGAAAAGGCCCGTCTGGCTCTGCCGCCGTCACGTTGGCGCGACAGTGATGACGGCTCAGGAGACGCAGTGCAACGAGACGACGCAAGAGTCGGCAACAGCGGCGAGCGACGAGCGACGATTCGCCTCTCTCCTCGATGGCTCGCGATCGACGGCTGGTGATGGAGGAGACGAGAGAAGAAAAAAAAAACAATGCCAGCTTCCCGTCATTCCCCCTTTTCGCTCATGCCGATGCACTCGTGCCTGTGCAATTGATCCCATCGCCATGGCCATCAAAACGTCGTGTGTACCAGAGCTTGGACGCCTCCCCTAGACCGACCGAATCGCGCAATGCACCAAGAAACACGAAATGACGAGAAGAAAAAAGACGAACAACTTACCGACCGTCGTTGAAAACCCTCAATTTTCGGTCGCGAGAAACGGCGACGACACACAGGCTCCAATATGGGGGTTGAGAGGAGGGGGTTTGGTCGCGAAGGCGAGAACGTGCGTTACGTGAATGTGTGTGAGTGAGAAAATGAGAGAGAGGCCCGAGAGAGTGAAAGAGCGGGTTGGAAAGCCTGGAGAAGAGAGTTGGAAGAATCCGCCACACACCAGACGAGATTGGATGGACAGGTTGATCCAAGGACGGACAGGCGGATAATTAGCAGTGGGAACTGCTGTAACTGGCCGCCCGCGCGGGCTTGCTCCTGTAGCTGTAGGGGGCTAATGTTGTGTTGTGCTGGGGGCTAGCTGGGGGGCTGTTTTTTTTTTTCTTTCTCTCTCTCTCTCTCTCTCTCCGCGGGTGCTTCTCCTCAATCTCTTTCGCTCTACTGTACGAGGACTAACTTGGCGGGAGGCCGGGTGGGACGTGCGCCGGTGCTGGAAATTGGCATGACAAGGGGCCTCTCAAGGCGCACCACAAAGCGCGGATTTGGTAGGTTGATTTGCTGCCAGGATGTGCCTTTGCTTTACTCGTACAGTACTTTGCCTTGCTTTGCCTTTGCTTCACATAACGTGCGAGTGACCTGCGCCTGGCTGCAGCCGTGTACCCCTGACCGTAGGCACGACCACTACTAAGCTGGCTTAGCACAGCGTTAGCACCGCCGTTACGACGTGCGCTACTGCACTGCTGCACTTGCCGGGCCTTGTTAGTGCTGGTGCTACATATCCAATGCTGCAATGGATTGGATGGTTTGGAGCGAGGTGAGTTGAAGTGCCCGTGCTGAGAGGTACCTGGGGTATGTTTGTCTTGAGTGCACTGACAGAACTTTTAGTGGTTGCTCGAGGTACAAGTACGGAGGAGAGGAAGAGAAGGAATTCAATGTCATCAATCACGCGTGGCAGAGTACCTATCAGTAGATTGATCTAGACAACATCCATCTAGATTGCTGATGGAATCGATTGGATTCATCGTGTGACAGTTTCTCCCTCTACCTGACACTGAGGATCCAGGTACGGATACACCACACAAAGTCCCTCCTCGCCGATGCAAACGAGTACAACTCACTCTCCTTCGCCGAGGTACAGCACGAGTACTATACCTTGCTTTGCCAACACAAATTGAAAACAAAGGAGGCCCTTTTCTTCCCCTTCTCCTCTCAGTCCGCATCAAGCTTAGACCACGTCCGGCCTAGCCTCACTGCCATTTCCGGCCCTCCAAGCCAGCCAGAGAGGATCCGTCAACCCTGCTGCTGGTACTGATTTAATGGGAACCAAATCTTACAGGTACATTGCAGCTCCATACACGAAAGTACTCGTACTCGTACGTGTACCCTCCATCCGTCCATCGTCCATGCGCGGGTGCGACGCATCGCGTCAGCAATTCAACGGCGGAATCAATCTCAGAGACCTGCTGGCGTGACAATTGTCGAGCGGTTCCCGTACAGTACAGTACTACTAATGTATATGTTACGATTGCTCGAGGCACGGCGTTTTCCCACAGACCCGGAATCGGAAGATGCGATCGCCGTCACGTCATTCCATCAGGTACGGTACGGTACGGGGGCACGGGGCCTCGCTACCACTGGAACCTGTTCCTGTACATGTAGGTACTCGTACGAACGTCGGAGTCTGGTACTTTGAGCAGCAACGCACCTATGAAATGCAACTCCGTACTGTGCATGTACCTCCAGCTCCCCGAGGCTTCAGGTTTCCTTGCTTTAAATTACACGTACGATGCGATGCTGGCATTACCGCATCCTCTCTCCATTACCTGCCACTACCGTACCGCTGGTTCTTCTTCAGCTGCCGCTACGGAATGTTCGGTACCATTGCGTTCAAGTCACCCATTGCTCTGTATGTATTTCTCTCGCCCACGGGCGTCTCAACAAGGATATGCCTGGTCAGATGAATCCTCCATCTTGTCAGAGGCATTCCATAATGCTCCAGATCCACAATTTTACATCTGTCAGCTCCGATGCTGCAAGGCATATTGCGAGCGCACAGCCATGACCACGGACGTATTACCACGGAGCACGTGTACCAAGTTTACGACGAGTATAACAACGGGCGTATCAGTGTTTCTTCGCCCAGAAGTGCCGTAGCATGCAATGATACCTCGACTGGTGGTTTTGCCAAGAACCAACTACACAGCATAGTAGTAAGCGGTTCGCCTTCCCATATCTGTCGCCATCTGGTATCCGTCAGTAAATGGATCAAAACATACGCCAAGGTTCTACGTACAAGAGTAAGAGCGGAGTGGCTGTGTGATATTCCAATACGGAGCATATGGATTGTAAACAAAGCTGCTTCTTATGAAAGAGAAAGGAGGCGCCAAAACATCTTGCTCAGTCGCCAGTGTCAACCTCGAGATCCAGCTGCACTCCATTCGAGATGCCATAGTCCTCCAACGTGATGTGATCCTTGAACGGCCGTTCGCCCTGCCGTCTCAGCATAATCTGTCCCGCCTCTCGTCCAATGCGTGCCGCAATCATGAGCTTGAACTGCCCAACCGTGTCCGAAGGCAAGCATGGGATGGCTGACTTGGTGCCCAAGCGGTCGTTGACATGCACAATGATAAACTCTTGTCCCGCCGCAACGGCAGCTTTGGGCGCCTTGGCTTCTTTCTTTTCTTTCTTGTCGTCCCTCTTCACTTTGTCACCAGTGTCCTTTGGTCCGGAAGCGTGTCGCCGAGGGGATCGCGATCTTGGGCGGCCCTCGTATCGGTCACGGCCACGATCCCGCGAGCGGTCGCGGTAATCACGCGGTCGCTCTCCATAATCGCGGTCACGGCCTCGGTCGCGCTCTCTTTCTCGGTCGCGGTCCCGGTCTCGGTCTCCATAGCGGTCTCTTCGCGAATCATGGCTGCCGCGGTTGTCGTCGCTTGGGCGGCTTTTATCCTTCCACCGAAACCCACCACTGCCTTTGGGCGCCCTCCGCGGAGGTGATCGCGATCGCGATCTTCGCGAGGAAGATTCCATGGCTGGTGCTGGTGTTTGAACACAGATTTTGCAGGCACCTGCTGCTGTAGAAGGGTAGAGTAGCTACAGGTATGTATCTAGAGGGGCTCTTCGGTAAAGGGTCGGGTAATAATGGAGCTTCCTCCTAAGAAGCTAGGACGTTCACAACGCAGAAGAAGAGGTGCTTTCGCAATTATCCAGCTGGTATACTGTGGCCACCTGTGTATTAAAGGCTGTATTTATCCTTGTGGCTGTTTTCAAGGGTGGTTACATCTTCAAATAGTAGAATCTTGTTTCTGCCATAAGCCGACAGATAGGTCGCTTGAATGATCCCCATCTACGCTTGTCAACCTACAATAGCGAACTTGGGCACTACAGCGAGTCTATTTGGAGAGGTATCGCACGGTTAGCAGAGAATGGAAAACTCAGATTTGCTGCCTTATCGCCTTCAAAGAGACAAAACTATATATACTTTTATGACTACTACAGGTAGGTATGTCCATCTTTCTGCGAAGTACTCCTACTTTGTTTGCATTCTTGATGGTCATGTGACTTTGTTGCAACGAGCAGCAGTCTAGCAAATCCGCGGCCGCTAAAGCGCCGTGAACAAAAAGCAGCGCTAGCGGATTTGCACAGTCAGGATGGCGCAAATTAAGCAACCACTCCGTGCCGGCAGTCCAGCATACGGAGTAGCATCTCACGAGTTGCCTAATCAAATCTTCCTGGTTCTGGGCTATTGGTTTCCCGCGGTTTCGGGTCCGGGAAATGAATGAGCCAAGGATCTCGTTCATCACTTGCAGTTTTGGATCAATCGACGGCATCGATCTCGTGACTGGAAGCCAATCGTGGAATTGTCCCAGCAAACGCTTATATTACGAGTACGCGGGAGAACGATTCACTACCATGTACTTGGCCCAATGTTTGGCCAACGCGTACATCATTTCCCATCTCATGTACCAAGTTGCAAAAATACACAGCAGCTACCGATCATCTCCCCATTTCTTAACCTTTTAAAGTTGAGATAAACGGCATGGCTAGTCCTCAAGGTTCACGGCTCAGCTCAAAGGAACATGACGCATGACATAAGCAGGCACGTGACATGGGTCGTTCCGCAGCCCCTCATGCTCGGATAGCGTCCACACACGAAATTGAAAAATTCCTCCCCGAGTGCGTCGCTTCACCACCAAGAGTGCCACGCCAGCGCCCCATCTCAACCATCCTCAGGCCTGCGACGGCTACTCATTGCCCCCGAATCTCCTTGCCCGGCTCCCGTCGATCCGTTGAGGAGGTTGCCCAGCATGGTGCGTACGACAGGCCCTGATGCGACTGACCGTCTCGCTGCCGGCCGCTACCCCTCCCCCATTCCCATACACCTACAATTCATCCAGATCAGGCCGTGATGCTGACCTTGCTCCTCTCCCCAGCCGCCCCCGCCGCATCAAAAGCCCGAAAATGTCCTGAAGCGCGCCCACGAGCTCATCGGGGTCAACCAGGCCCCGACGGCCTTGACCCTGCTCCATGAACACATCACCAACAAGCGCTCCCGGAGCGCCGCCATTGCTTCTCTAGAGCCTGTGATGCTCCTGTTGGTTGAGCTCTCCGTCGAGCAGAAGAAGGGAAAGCTGGCCAAGGATGCCTTGTATCAGTACAAGAACTTGTCCCAAAACACCAACATCTCCACCATTGAGGTAGGTTCAACACCGGCGTTGAGGGAAGAAAAGGGGATGATAAAAAAAGAAGATCAAACGCATTTGGATGGATTACTGACCCGCCCCACAGCTGGTCCTGAAAAAGTTCATCGAACTCGCCGTGGAGAAGGTTACCGCTGCCCAGCAAAAGGCCGACGAGGTTCAGTCTACCATTGAGGCCACCGCTGCCACCTCCAGCATCGACGACTTGGAAGCCAGCGAGACCCCCGAGTCCATCCTCCTCGCCACCGTCTCTGGCGAGCAGTCCCGTGACCGAACTGACCGAGCCATCGTCACTCCTTGGCTCAAGTTCCTATGGGAGGCCTACCGAACCGTGCTCGATATCCTCCGCAACAATGCTCGTCTCGAGGTCCTTTACCAGAGCACTGCCATGCAGGCCTTCGACTTCTGTCTCAAGTACACCCGAAAGACCGAGTTCCGAAGACTCTGCGAGCTTCTCCGAAACCATGTCCAGACCGCCGCCAAGTATTCGTCTCAGATGCACGCCATCAACCTGAGCGACCCGGACACCCTGCAGCGTCACCTTGAGACTCGCTTCCAGCAGCTCAACGTTGCCGTCGAGCTGGAACTGTGGCAAGAGGCTTTCCGAAGTGTCGAGGATATCCACACTCTGCTAAACCTCAGCAAGCGCCCTCCCAAGAACATCATGATGGCGAACTACTACGAGAAGCTCACCCGTATTTTCCTCGTTGGCGAGAACTACCTCTTCCACGCTGCAGCCTGGTCAAGATACTACACCCTGCTCCGCCAGGTCTCGGCCTTGGTCGCCTCTGGCCAGGGCAAGAAGGCTGACAACCCCCCGGCTTCTGATGCCGATCTCCAGAGGGCTGCTTCTTTTGTCCTCTTGTCCGCCCTCGCCATCCCCGTCATCAGCACTTCCCGATCCCGAGGTGCCATGGTCGACTTTGACGAGGCTCGCAAGAACAAGAACACTCGCCTGACCACCCTGCTCGGCATGAGCCAGGCCCCCTCTCGTTCTCGTTTGTTCCGCGATGCTCTGTCCAAGTCCATCATCCAGCGATCCCTCCCTGAAATCCGGGATCTCTACAACATCCTGGAAGTTGACTTCCACCCTCTCTTCATCTGCAAGAAGATCTCGCCCATCCTGACCAAGATTGCCGCTGATGCCGAGATGGAGAAGTACATCCTCCCTCTCCAGCAGGTTATCCTCACCCGTCTGTTCCAGCAGCTGTCTCAGGTCTACGAAACCGTGGACCTGAACTTTGTCGAGAGCTTGGCCCAGTTCCCTGAGCCTTACCAGGTTACTCGCGGCACTATTGAGAAGTTCATCATGAACGGAAACAAGAAGGGCGATCTTGCCATCCGCATGGACCATGCCACCGGCGTCCTCAGCTTTGACAACGACGTCTTCTCCTCTGCCAAGGCCGGCCACAGCGGATCTTCCGCTGGCTCTGCCGAGGCGGAGACTGGCAATGTGCAGCGTCTCCAGAGCACTCCCTCTGAGATTGTCCGTTCCCAGTTGACTCGTCTTGCCAAGTCACTCTTCGTCTCGTGCCACTACATCGATCCCAACTTCAACAAGGATCGCCTGGCGGCCCATGACGCCGCATTGGCTCGTGCAAAGGCTGGTGCAGAGAAGGAGCACCTCGATACCCTTGCCCGTAAGGAGGTTATTCAGAAGCGCAAGGAGGAGGCGTCCGAACTCCAGGCCAAGAAGGAGAAGGAGAACGCCCGACAGAAGAGACTGCGGGAGCAAGCTCTGCAAGAGGCCGAAGACAAGCGCCTGGCTGAGGAGCAGCGTGAGCGTGAAGCCCGACGTATCAAGGCTGAGCACGACCGTGTTCGCAAGGAGGAGATCAAGAAGCAGATCGCAGACCTGAAGATGAGCGACAAGGCTCTTGACATTGATCTGGAAGACCTGGACAACCTGGACAGCAACAGACTTCGTGCCATGAAGCTGGCTCAGTTGGAACGGGAGAAGAACGATGTCAACGAGAAGCTTCGCATAACTGGCAAGCGACTCGACCACTTGGAGCGAGCTTACAGAAAAGAGGAAGTCAAGAAGCTTGCCGATGATTACGCCAAGCAGACAGAGCGTGATCGCAAGATTTACGAAACAGTCAAGGCCAAGACACTCCAGGAGTCTGAGGAGAAGCACAAGGAGAGTGTGGAGCTCAAGCACCGCCTTAGCCGCCTGGTGGGTGTGTACGAGACTTTCAGAGCAACGCTGCACGAGAAGCGTCGTGATGAGTTTGAGAAGCGCCGCAGGGATGCCGAGCGTGAGCTGGAGAAGCAGATTGCCATCCGCAAGAAGGAGTACCGCGACCGAAAGCTGCGCGAGAAGAGAGAGCGGGAAGAGAGAGAGCGTATCCTCCAAGAACAAGAGGAGCAGGCCGCTCGTGAGAAGGAGGAGCAGCGTCTTCGTGAGGAGGCCAGGAAGGCCGAACTCGCCAAGCTCAAGGAGCAGCGCGAGAAGGAACGCCAGGAGATGTTGGAGAAGGCAGCACTCCAGCAGAGACGTGAGGAAGAAGCCCTTGCTCGCCGTAAAGCAGAGAGAGAACGAGGAGGCCTCAGGGGACCAGAGACTCCCCCTGCTGCTGCTGCTGCGGCTGCCGATGGCCGACGACCACCAGTCGTTGGCTCAGGAAGCTGGCGAGAGAGAGAGGCTGCCAAAGCTGCAGAGGGCAGCGCACCAGCACGGACAGGGGCCGCGATGGAGCGCACCGACTCTGGCGATCGTCCCAGTGAACGCTCATCTGGCGGGCCCCCGAGACTGCAGTTGGCCGGCTCTGGCAACAAGCCAAGCTGGAGAGATCGACAAGCCAAGGAGTCTGCTGGCGGAGCGAGCGATAACCTCCCCCCGCCTGCCAGAGGCCCTGGACCCCGCGACTCTCCTCGCGACTCTCCTCGCGACTTCCCTCGTGATTCTCCACGTGAATCTCGCGAGCCTCTAGAGCGAGGTGGCTCAAGGCGGGGCGAGAACGGCAAGACTGAGTCTGCCGCCCCCACGGAGTCTCTGCCTACTCGAACTGCGGGCAAGTGGGTTCCTCCTCACCTGAGGAACAAGTCATGAAGGGAATGAGCGCATGGATAGTCCTGGCTACATATTTTGCACTGGCGTTTTGGGGGAAATTCAAGAGGATGGATGGTTTGCATTGAATGTACTCTAGAGCTCAGCATAATTCGCCGTCCTCTGAGGTGCGAGCACACCAGAATGGAAGAAAAACAAAAGCACACAGCATCTCTCTCTCTCTCTCTCTCTTTCTCTTTGCCTCCCCCTTTTTTGCTTTTTTTCTACTATGTGACCCAGTTGAGGAGCTGTCTTTTGCCCGAATCTTTGGTGTCATGAGCCATATTACAGATGTAATTCTAAATAAACAACCGCGTATTTTCTTAAAACAATGTTGTTTCGATATGATGAACCGTATATATGAGATGTATTCGCTCCATATTGTATGGCCATGGAAAGTAATAGTTATGACTGAAGTATATCATTTTTGGTAGGCTTGCTGGGTTCGTGATTATCTGCCCTCTACAAGTCGGTATCAAATCAGACCACAAAAAGCAAGGCGTACAGTCTCTCGGATCACAACCCGCCACGACGGAAACCCCGATCGTCTCATACAAAAATCACCAGACTCGCTGGAGCTGTAGGGACTGGCTAGACTGCCACATCTAGACAAAGTATAACGCCTGGACAACCGTTTCCCATTAAGGGCTTACGGGACTACGAATGCCGCCTTTCAGGTTTCGACCCTTCTTTGTTTGTTTTCCCTTTGGTTGGAACTGAGCACCGAGCCTTGTGCTGCAAGGGCGGCACAGAGGGCTCAGACGGGACCAACAATCAATAGCTCAGGTGACTGAGACGAAAGAGGAAATGTCGGGGGGATCGGACTGTCGGGTTAAATTGGGCAACAGCAACGCATGCAGAGTGCTTCCAACTAGGCAGAGACACACAACGCGGTTTAGACAACGAAAACCAGCTCCTTGTGGTAATTGTGAGGTTTCTCCAGGCTAACCTGAATGATGGTGTGTAAGTAATAGAGGAATACGACAAGCACCGTCGGTGATTTATTTCGAGAAGCACGCCGGCCGCGTGCATACGGTGGCTTTTGGCGTTGAGATGGGTATCACAAAAGAGTTGGTGAGGCGGCAAGATGCGAAGACGATTTGCTCCAAGCCCGGAGATCCTAGCTCAGCAGAGCGGGGAGCCTAGATGGGCAAGTCAGGGGTAGATCCGGCCGGTGTGGCTCCCCTTGACAGAGCGGCTGGATGGGATGGATGGGGGCTGAAGTTTGCTGTAGGGAGCGCAAACTAGCAGCAGCTTTGCATGGTCATTTGGTCATTCCAGCTGAACGGCTTCTTCCTCGACGTTCTCCCTTTTTGTGCGAGATGGAGAAATGTTCTCGGTGACAAGTTGAAGCAGTACGGGTTCCCTGGCCGTATACTTCAAAGATGACTCTTGGCGTAGTATCCGTGATGTAGAATTGAAGCCTGTAGAAGAGCATCAGGATCTACAATCTCATGTGTGTTCGTTTCCGCTACTAATCTGCTGTGACGGTAGGAGAGGCGCTCCGTATCGGAAAGCTTCACCGAGAATAATCTAAGATGAGTACACAAAATAAACAACACAAGAACAGGCGTCCAAGCATCATTGTGTACCCACCCTCGCAGCAGACAAGCGCCTAGAGTTGAGTATCCCTGGCAAAAACGCTGCCCCGGCCTGAAGCAATCACAGCTGGGCCGACCAGCCGGACGGCCGAGAGGTTGATGCAAGCATTACCTCGGATCAGCTGCTGATGTTCGACTCCGCCCTGCAACACTGGCCCAATAACGTTATCACGACTAACAGGAGCCTGAACTCGACAGGCTTTGTGGGCTGATGGGGACCGAGATCTGCTTAAAGCCGGCCATGATGTATCCGACACTCTATGCCGAGCTGCAGTACGCACTAGGATACTCGTAGCATCTCGAATTCCAGCCCAATGCTTCGCAATGGAAACGCTTCAAAACTAGCATCGGGTATAGGACGAGTCCGTGCTCTCCCGGGATAGCCCAAGTATGGTAACACCAGCTCAATGTTTACCACGTCTATTCTTAGCAGTGCTGCGGGTGGCGGATGGTCGGTTGGCTGAGGCAGACAGATGGACAGACGTGCTGCAGGCCATTGTTTCTCTCAGGACGTGCATATCGAACGATTGCTCCTCCGCACTGCTCCGTACGTGCCGCCATTAGGCGATCTCCACCACGGCACAAGAAGAAAAACGAAAACTTCAGCCGCTCGTATTCTAGTCGTGGGATAAATGCAGCTGTGGTACGCAAAGAACTGAGCTGGGATGCATGATGAGCTGGCAGCAAACTCCGTCCTCTCCTTCGCACCCACGTCCGTCCATGTTCTTTTCTTACGTAGCAATATTGGTATGTTGATGTTACCCTCCACCGTAGAGACGCCAAAAAGCACCGACTCTGCTTGGCATTGCTACTGCGTAGTTAGGAATTGACAACCAGTCATTGATTAAGAAAATATGAGTGCGGCATCACCTTTCATGTTGTTAGCCGGCTCAATGGGACTCGTACGTACGCCTTGGTCAACTGCATTTCTTCTTTACTTTTGTCTTCTTCTCCCACCATCGCTCTCCAGTAAAGCAAGAGATCAAATAGAGAGCCCCGCTGCGGGCCTCGATCTTTGGAAGCAAAGCCCACATAGTGTGCCCATTTCGCCCATCGTAAAGCCCCGATACCCCAGCATAATAGCTGAAAAGTCGTGGCACCAGTATCGCTCATGGGTCTTTCGTAGTATACGAGAATATGCATAAGGGTATCCCGTACGCAGAGCCAGACGCGGTGGACACTTGAGCCTAGAGTTAACCACAAAGTTAGCTGACACCCGAGCCAAAAAGGGTAAGCAGTGTCGGGACCTGGGAAGGATTGGGGGATGGAGAGGCTGAGAGGTCTAGAACCCTCCTTGCATGAAGGTTCAACTGTGCCCGCCCGGTGGTGTTGCGTTCTGACTTACACGCTCCCTGTAAAACTTTGACTATGCATTAGTAGTGCTCGGCATGCCTGTGCCTAGTATGAAGGGTCCTGTTGCAGTGTTACTCCAATCTTGAGCCAGCATCATAGAAGCCGATTAGGACATCAAGGTAGTATTCCTGGCAAGGAATAATGTTAATCAGTTGAAACGCACTGTTTAGCTGTGCTATGCTCGGCAAGACTCGGGTATTCTGCCGTCTGGTAGCGTATATGTCCCTGGCCGAAAGTAGCTATATCGTAAGGTTTTCGGATGCTCACGATGCTGACATGAGTAGTATCGAAATGGTAGCATTAACCAGCCGAGGGGGGAGGACCCTTCGCACATTCTGCCCTGAAATGGCTGAGGAATCTGATGTGTGCCAGGCACAGAATGAACTGCAGCCTAAGGTGTGCATGCATATTCAGCCATACGCGCACTCTGGCGTTCCCGGCTCCTTTGACTCAACAGAGTTGCATTCAGCCAGCCTCAGCTCGGGCATCCCAGCACTGACGTCCCGGCCGGGTGAAAGTGACAGGTAGGTCTGGTCTGTCCGATACTATTTCCTCCTTGCAGGACGACAATAGGGAACACAAAGCAGCCCGACGGGACATCGGCAATGGCCTTGGCAGTGCGCTTTGGTCAAAGCGACCGTATGCTAGTTGCCCGTTAGTACTATCCTTCAGCTCACGGCAACTTGCAACGCTGCTTACATGGACAGCGGCGTGGCGCATCTTTTTCGGGAACAAGGGATGGCAAGCAACAGGGGCGCCTCTCAACCCGATCTGGTGGACTTCGGAGAGTAAGACCCCTGCGGCCTGAATCGCAATGCTGCGGGTGGTGAGTGGGTGTCGTCCGAGAGAGATTGTGGAGGCCGGTCCTGTGTAGACGTCAAGTCGTCGTATGGTTCCCTAAGGGCAAGTGTAGTTTCGACAATGTGTATATAAATCCACGGCCCCTCGTCGTCATCTCACTCGAGATCTCGTTCATCACCAGTAGCCGCCTGTCTCAGCATCCTGAATAAGGAGTGATCGGCTTACACCAGCTTCTCGTGTCTTAGACCTCCTCCAATATCATCACAATGGCCTTCTCCCGGTCCCTCGTGGCCGCGGTTGCCACGTTCTCGCTTGTGAAATCCACACAGGCATGGAACGTGGAGCTGCCTCCGTGTTTGGACGAATTCAAGCCCTTTGTCGCCTCCGGTTGTTTCCAAGATGGAACACCTGGTACTCCTCAAGCTCTCATCTTCCGCTCATCTTTGTCCGCTGACAACATGACTGTTGAGCAGTGCGTTGCTGAATGCAAAGGTCTGTTTGTTGCCTTTGAATGCCTCTGATGTGGAACTAACACTCTTGCTAGGCAATGGCTTCCGCTATGCTGGCCTCGAATATTATGGCGTTTGCTTCTGCGGCAACACTGTAGATGGTCCTCAGGTTGATGACTCTCAGTGTACTTTCCCTTGCAACGGCGACAAGTCCGAGACATGTGGAGGAAACAATGCCCTCTCTGTCTGGCAAGACCCAACATTCCCCACCAAGGACGTCACCATCGGTGACTACAAGGCTTCCGGTTGCTACACTGACAATTCGCAACTGGGACGTACCCTTTCCTGGTCCGCTGATGTCGATTCGTCCACCTTTACCACTGAGGGCTGCTTGGCTGCCTGTGAGAAAGAAGGCTTCCCGTTAGCAGGAACTGAGTTTGGAGGTGAATGTTGGTGCGGCAATGTTCTTGCAAACAACACTGCCAAGGTCGATGACTCGCAATGCAACTTTGCTTGCAACGGAAATTCGTCGGAAACATGTGGTGGAAGAGGCCTCTTGAACTTGTACATTGCCGTGGATCTGGAGTCCTTGGAGCCCTGTGGCTACACGCCTCCTCCTCCCAGCTCCTCGACTTATCCTCCTCCTCCTCCCAGCTCCACGAGCTATCCTCCTCCTCCTCCCAGCTCCACGAGTTGTCCTCCTTCCCCTCCTCCTCCCACCACGACTACCTCTACGACCACCACCAAGCGCACCAGCACCACGACCACCAGCTCCGTGTGTACGGCCACCGTCACCACTCCTCCCACTTGCGAGTACAAGTGCGGAAAGTGGTGCTTCCCTCCTCTACCCGATTGGGGTAATGAGAAGGATTGCCTGAAGGCTTACGCTACTTGCGTAGCCGGCACCGCTTCTTGCTTCATCCAAGCAGGATTCCCCGATGCTCTCCAGTGCTTCAACTTTGGCCAGTGGTGTGGCAACATTCAGAAGTACTGCGGCTCGACATGCAAGTACGGCAAGTGCTCCAAGGGCGATTGTTGGAATCACAACCCCGGCCAAGGCGGTAGCCCTCCCAAGACGTCTACCACCGTCATTCCCTGCCCTGTCACCACGACATCCAAGCCTCCGGCTACCACGACAAAGCCGTCCACCTGCCCTCCCCCTCCTACCAACATTTGCACACAGCCCTCCAACTCCAAGTACGGATATGGCCCAGGCAAGCCTGTCGGTGGAATTGATCTGCCCATTGTCAGCTGCAATGACATCTACAGCGATTGGCGCAACAACCCCTTCAAGCTGTATATTGACCAGAACAGCCGCAACTGCCCATCATATCCCCCTTCACGCTGCGGCAATGCTTGCGCCGATGCCTGCAAGGAGCAGTACGACCAGTGCACAAATGTCTATCAGAAGGGCTGCCAGGATGGCTCCAGCGGCCGGTGGAAGCGTAACGAGGAGACCAAGCGCCTGCTCGGCATCAGCCAGTTCACGCAGAACTGGGGCTTTGGCGACAACACTCCTTCCAATGCGGCCAAGAAGTGCCAAGCACAGTATTCTGACTGCTTGGCCGTTAACAAGAATGTCAACCCCAAGCAGCAGTGCAAGACTTGGTGCTATTGAAGGCGTATTTCTTTGGGTAAAAAGTCTGGCGAGGCATGGTGTATATCAGACAGGGAATAAAGGGACTCGGGTTTGGGACAAAGGGATGATAGTGCCGTCGATAATGACAATTGGCCGATGCCATAGATGTATCCTGACCTCTTGAGCTTCTATATCGAAGCTCGGAGGTTGGAAAAATTGAAACTTTGGATGTAAACGATAATTCTCCGTGATACAACTATAATAGTCGTGGAGCACGGATGTCTCAGAATCATCGGCTCGCACAGGCAGGAGCATTGGATGCCGTCCGACATGTACTAAGAATGGCAACAGCCGAGTGAATGACGTCGTCCCGCGTTGTATGATTGGTCTTTGACGACTTTATTCACGTGCCACGGACAGAGTTTGTCGTCATCAGGTGCGGAAGGTAGCATGATGGGAAATTCGTTCTCGCAGTTTGGATTTCCGATGACATTGGAAGTGTCAAAGTTCACGGACAGAAGTTACATACAATATCACGTTGCTGCATACTATGGCGATTTAGACGGAAAAGGCATTGACGGTACTTGAGCTAGAAGACATCTGTGCATGAGATATCCGTCCGGTCGTGCTGTCATACATACATCACCAATGCTCACCGCCTGCAGCCGCGGCTCTAGATCAACAGCTCCGGGCGAATCATTGGTAGTATTGGCATGCCGAATAGAAACTTCTTCATAGACTAGGTCTACAGGTAATCTTCCCTCGTGGCCCGGGTTTTATATATCCGACGGAGCGTAGATATCCGTAGCTTCTGATTTGGGTTTCATACTAGGTAAGATGAAGAGGAGGAGTACCTGATCTTGGACACGCGTGTACAATGCCAATGTACTCCGTAACTGATACGTACTTACAAATGCTGATCTCCGAAATGCCCCTCTTTCGCCGATCAATATCACCATGGCATTTCCAGCTGCGATAATACAACTCTGCCCACGAATACTCGGCACCTACACCTATCTTACCCTATACTAGATAAGGTAGGCACTTTGCTTGCCATCATCCCTGAATCGTCGCATCGCTTCTTCTCAATCCCTCACAAAGACATTTGATCGCTCTCTGCTTAACCTCACTTAAGATGTGTCGTAGATGGACGGATCGCACTCCCCTTTCAGCCATACAGCCGTGAATCCGTGGATCTCAAGAGCAACAATTTGCGGCAAACGCCCATATCCACAAGCGAGCCGCCGCTCCAACCCCACATCAGTGCAACGCCGATTCCATTAGCACGCGGCTTGGCCCCTTTATCGCCGACGTTCAAAAGTGTTGGCCAATGTCTCCTAAGCCAGAGAGAGGGTTCCGTCTAGCCGCACGAGTTTGCCAAGAAGCTGCTTGCAGTGCTCTACCATCAGGTACCGGCAGTGGTGGGGAGGGGTCGGAGTAATTGATGCTGGCTAGCTCAGGACAGGACAGGCGGCCAACCAGAACGGCAACCAAATTTCGCACTACCGATTACTTGGAGTCTTTTTCAACTGAAACCAACGCTGAGCCTTCTGTTTACTTACCTATTTATTCATCTCTTGTCTCTGTCACCGCTGTTTCCAAGGCACTTGATTCTCACATTCTCAATCTCTTCTCCGTCTCATCTTCTTCTGCGTCTTGTTGGACAGATCAAAGATGGGCAGTGCATCCCATTTGCTGGCCACGCTTGGCGTTGGTGACCCATCACCGGCCGAGTGGTGCCAAATCTTCTTCATTTTCAGTGCGGCCAACATCTTCATGCTCGCCGTAGTCCCGGAGCATATGCGCAGGGCCTTGCTAGACTACGGTGCAAGGAGGGTGAAGCCCAGTCAACCGTCCGAGAAGGCCAAGGAACCGGAGCCCACTCAGGGGGTTTTCGACGTCCTGACAAGTTATGGCCAGCTACCTCATTCATGGTTCATACATTTCTACATCACATCGTTGTCATGGTCCATTTTCTGGGGCCGGCAGTTCTTGTCCAAGGGGTCGTGGATGCGGAGCATGGCCGAGATGCAACACTTGTCTGCAGTCGAGAGTCAATCACCAGAGGTTGGTCTCACTGGGACACTGGTGGCATGGCTATTGATGAGCTCTCAGGGAGCAAGGAGGCTTTTTGAGTGTATCTTTGTCACCAAGCCCGGCTCATCTCCCATGTGGTTTGTCCACTGGGCTCTTGGACTGGCCTACTACACAGCATTGAGCGTCTCCGTCTGGATTCACGGCTCAGGTTCGTCTAATGGGCCTTGTCCATATCCTAATCAAGTACTCAAAATGGAAGTGACGCTGACGGAACTTGACAGGAGCAATTCTTCAATCGTGGGAGAACCCGCAGCCAATTCACTTCACACCACAAATCATCATTGGGGCGGCCGTCTTTGGATTCGCGGGTGCTCAGCAGCACCAATGCCACAGCTACTTGGCAGGACTCAAGAAATATACGCTTCCCAACGAGGGCTGGTTCAAATACTTCATTTGCCCCCATTACACATTCGAATGCCTACTCTACTTGAGCCTTTCCGTCGTTGCGGCACCGGCAGGATGCATCTTGAACAGATCTGTCCTGTGCTCGTTGATCTTCGTCTTGGCAAATCTCGGCGCGACGGCATATGGAACGAAAGCTTGGTATGCCGGCAAATTTGGGGCGGACAAGTTGGTGGGAAAATGGATCATGATCCCCTTTGTATTCTAGGCTAGTTGGCTCGTCGAACATTGAGCACGCTTTTATCGCTTGTTGAAAAGACCTAGTTTGGCTCCGACTTTGGAAACTTTGAGGACGTCGCGGTACGTGAGGCTGGTGCGGGTCTGCCTCGGATTTCGACCGCTGGCAAACGCCTCGGCATCTCGAAGTAAGGACCAGTTCACAATCGTATCGGCGGAAAGATCAAGGTCCTCCTTAGTGTCGGATATCCCATGCAGGTAGTCTGTGTAGAGAGTGTCTGTAGTGATGAGAAGACTACGAGGTTCTTGGATAATGCGCCAGGCAGGCTCGGGATCAAGGGCGCCGTCCTCTTTGCTGCGGTACAGGTTCAGACAGAGGCTTGCGCCGAGGCTGACGGTGCACACGACGGGCCAGTACGCAGCGCCATCCTAGGGTGGATGAGCATTTCGAAGCTGCCAAGGATCATCTACTTTTGCCATAATACTTAACTTATGCGGCATAATACCAATACCGGGAGGATATTCGTTGATGAGGACGTGATTCGGGCGCTGGTGGGGGCTCTCAGCGAAGATGTGTCTGACATTGTTGCCTTGGCCGTCGTCGGAGAGCGGGAGGGACAGTAAGCGTGATACTACGGGTGATTCAAGCCAGGAAGGCAGCGGCGCATCGAGGAGCTTGTTCTGGACGAGATCGGACGGCCAGGTCTGTAGACGTCGATGCGTGAGCTGCTTCCATCGCGGACGAGGAGCAGCGGCGATCTGAGCGCGGCGTCATCAGCGAGGCTGCACCATGGCACCCGTCACGGCGGCAACACAACGATACAGCACGCACTCTATCAAGAATTAAGCGCTCTTCTTCCTCGCTGATAAAGTTGGGCAAATAATAGGCCGTCGACGGAAGCGAAGTGATTCTGGCGGCTTCGAGAGAAGAGGGAAGCCACGCGTCGCCGATGCCTCGGGTTGCCATGATACAGTAACAGTAGGCAGGACTCAGGCCGGCAAATTGTCGACGAGGAGGAGAGAAGCTGCCTTGAGCTGCGCCAAGAACTCCCCCTCCCCAATGAGCGAGACAGCCTGTTCGGAATGAAAGTCGCGAGGGGATGGATTGGCTTGACTGGGAGAAGATCGAATCGAATCGAATGGTCGTAAGAGGGGGACGATGGGGTGATGAGCCAGCGAATAGCCACATCGAGTTAGGGGGCTGCAGCGCCTGTTTGCTCCCTCGCAGCAGAACGGATGCCGCTTAGGGTTAGCCGGGCAGAATTAGTCCCGTGTAGGCGTAGGTTGTGCAAAGTTCAATCAATTGCACGAGTGTTGTTTATCGGCGTGCAGCGTTTGGCGTCGCGTTGAGCCGCCGAGCAGTCAGACGCCGCCAGACCAGGCTCTGCCGTGCTGTGCTGTGCCGTGCTGTGCTGTCCATGTTATCTGGTGCACCGCTCAATGGTTCCCTGACTGATAGGATCAATGGATCAATGGATCAATGCGTGCTGAGCTGAGCTGAGCTGCAGGTCGCACCGGCGAGAGCAAGAGCAGGAGAAAGAGCGCATCAAATCCATCCATCCATTGCACTGCAGCACGGCACAGCGCGGTCGGATGCGTGCATGCGTGAGGATGGATGGGCGGGCAAGGATGCCGTCCTCTCTCTCTTGTTCCTTTTTGTTTTCTTGCAGTAGAATCCATAGAGGAGAGGCGAGACCGCCCGTATTTCAAGCCCAGACAACGCGAGGTGCCTCCCAGGACTGCCGATGCCGCCTGCAGCCGTGATTGGCAGACGGCGGGGACCGACTGCAGCCCCAATGCTTGAGGGCCTTTTGGGCGCACCTTTAGCGGGATGGCAGCTAGACAGGGCTTGACAGGGTTTTTGTTTAGGCTGCGACTCCGCTGTTTCGGCCGCACAACTGCACCGCGAAGGCGCTGCGCCGGCTGGAGCGGCTTGGGGCCACGGCCAATCAGCGCGCGGCAGCCTAGCCCGGCGCTGCTGGCTGAGTTTCGCACCAAGTCCCGTTTTCAGGCTCTTAGTCCATGTATCTATAGTAGCCTGCGGTGTGTGTTGTCATGATGCTGTATGTTCGTGCAGTGTTATTCATGTGCTTCAGTTGTTGATTGTTGCTCGTGCGTGTACCGGCTGCGCTGTCCGCTCTCGCCTGCTCCTTGATCCGGCATGCGCAGGCGCTCCGCGATTGACTCGACGCTCTGCCGGCTCCCATGACCACGTCTTACTGGTGGCGGTAGCAGTACCTCGCTCTGCCGCTGCTGCTGGTAGCACCGCATCGATGCCTGTACATTGTCCGCTATCAATCGCGACCCTCCCCCCCCCCAGCTCCCAGCCCCCGGCAGTTTCGTGCTTTTTTCCCAGCTCTCGAGCCCGCTAAACTGCTCCGTACTCCGTGCCCTGGGCAGCACTACGGTGAACACGCTTCGATTGAAGGTTGAAACTCCAGTCTTTCTGCCTTCTTGACATCCGACCGGGAAAAAAAAAGCATCGACTCATTCCCACGCCGCCTGTCTTCGCCGCCCGCCCCATCGGCCCTCATCGTAGCAGATATAATTCCTCTCTCCTCTTCACATTGTTTATCCCCCTAGGCGGCCGCATCCGTGCCGGCATAACGGGCTTCGCCACTTTGCCAGCTGCTGTCGTGCCTAAAATCCCCCCCGGCTGTCCAATCCATCTCCGCAAGAGGCCATTCATTGCCAGCAGCTCTGACGTGGCGGTCGACGTGACCAGATCAATCGGCCTCTTGCCCGGCTCGCACGCTGCCGAATCTCGTTTCTTATCTCCATGATGGTGGTAGCCGCTGGCAATTCTCGAAGATAAATGTCATGGACGCGCAGAATGCTGCCGAGTCCGACACGCCCAAGCATGCTGGCGCTTCCCCTCAGCAGCAAAGCAAACACGAGCGCCCGCGACGAGGCTCTGGCTCCGACTCGGATCCGAAACCGCGTTCATCTTTGAGGGCCTCGTCGCCCTCCAGGGAGCCCAAGCTGAAGACGAGGGAGTCGTCGTCGCTGTCGTCGTCGACGGCTGCCCGAATCGACGACGCTCCTGGTGCCGACCGCGACTCAGACGCCGAGACGATTGTCCTGCCTGGCAAGGATGGCCATTCGCCCTCCAAGGTTCGAAAGGTGAGGCAGGAGGACAGGAGCGAGAGTGACGCCGACTCGGCCAGAGGCAACGGCCAGCCAGCTGCCAGTAACCAGGGCGACAAGAATGCGGCTGGCAACCGGTCTGTCGAGGGTGTCAAGAAGCGGTTGCCGGGCCCTGTCGACAAGGACCGCCAACCTCGCAGCAAGGACGGCGCTTCCAGCGGCTTGAGTTCTGCCCCGACATCGCCTCCCCACAACCACAGCCAGCTCCGTCAACAGCTCCCGCTTCCATCTCACCGCCGTCGGCGATCCGACGCTGTGCCTGCCGCATCGCCGTCTGACTCTGAGGGCACCCACGCCAAGCCAGTCTCCTCGTCACTACGTGACAAGCTAAAGTCTGGAGAGCGTCTGCTGCCGCACAAGCGAAAGGCCCCCAAGGCCGAGTCCGACGACGAAGCTGACCAGCGAAAGGCTCGCCGCCAGCGAACCACGAGCGTCACCCTCGACACCGGGCGGACGCTCAAGGAGACCAAGCCGGCCTCGAAGCAGTCCCATCATGACCCGAGGACTCGGACTCGCTCCATCTCTCCACACCCTCGACAGCATCGTAGAAGCGTATCGACACAGTTACCCGCCCATCATCTTTCCAGCAGCCTTAAGAAGAAGCGTTTACCTCCCCCCCTGCACTCGGCTGACTACCACTCCGACGAATCCTCGGCCAGCGGGAGCCCTCACCCTCGTAGCGCCAAGCTGCGAGGTCTTGCTACCCCCACGGTGCCCGAGTCTCATGCCTCGCCCGTGAAAATGGCACCTCACAAGAAACACCTGGACGCACACGGCCAGACTTTACTCGCCAGGGCCTGCGCACGTGGCGAATACGACAGTGCAAAGAGGAGGCTCAGTGATCGGCCCGAAGACCTGAACGTAGCTGACTATGCCGGCAACACGCCTCTGCAAATCGCCGCTATTAATGGTTGCGAAGATATCGTCAAGCTTTTAATTGACGCTGGCTGCAACTTGGATTGTGTCAACTACGATAAGGACACGCCCTTGCTGGATGCGGTCGATAATGGCCACGTTGCCGTTGTAAAGCTACTTTTGGACGCTGGCGTCAATCCACGAAAGGCTAATGTGAATGGGGAGGAACCTATTGATAGAGTTACGGACGATACTGAACATGGTGACGAAATTCGCGCATTACTCCTCGCGGCCAAAAAGCGACAGGGCGAAAGGCGCCGCACTTCTGAGGACCGTCACTCCCACGACTACCACGACGTACGAGACTCTCATGCACCCGACAGCCCGCGCCGCTCTCCAGCCGCAACAATGTCATCAAGTCGAAGAACAGGAAACGTCCGGTCCACCAAGACGAGGAACGACCTACTCTACATGCCGTTGGACGACAAAACCCTCCGGCAGGCCGCCGGCCGCGGTGACGAAGAAACCGTGGCACGCATTTTACAGGTCAAGGAAGGCTTCGACGACCCCGAGTCCATGGTCGCTGCCGCGAGAGGAGGCCATGATCTGGTAATCCAGCTGCTGCTGGGCCTGGGAGGTGCCAGTGCGGACCCTCCCCCAGTCAAAACTTTACAAGCCGAATTTGCAACTCCAATGCTCGCGGCTATCGGCCAAGAGAACATCAAGGTCGTCGAACTACTTTTAGAACAGCAGAATTTTGACCCCACACGAAAATTCAAAGGGGAGACGTACTATGAGATTGCCCGTCGTCGGCAAGGATCGAATTGGAAGGAAGAAGAACACATGTTGAAAAACGCGTACGATGAATATAGGCGGACGCACAAGGACTCGGCTAGGGCGAAATCGCCAGGACGGAGAGACAGGGAAAGAGAGCGGGAGGAAAAGCGGACTAAGCGAGAGGACGCCAAAGAAGACTCGAGGCCGCTGAAACGAAACGCTGCTAGTCCCTCTCGAGAGCCGAAGAAGCCCTCAGCCCCCAAGACGGATGCCCCACGGGAGAAGCGAAGGTCAGACTCTTTTACTGGCCATGGAGGCGACGATAACTCTCAAAAGAGAGGGCCTGGACGGCCACGGAAAGACGACAACAAGGCCTCAAACGCTTCGGATCGCGAAGCGTCCCCTGTGCCTGCTCACAAGGTGCCCAAGCCGAAGCGTACCGAGTCAGATGCCACCGGTGTCTCGTCCGAAGGAGAGGCTGTCAAGCCGAGAAGGAAGCTGATATCCAAAGGCGAATTGCGAGACGAGCGGGAAAGGCAAAAACGTGGCAGCTTGGCATCTATCGGTTCATCTGGCGCCAAGGAACCGTCCAGCCCCAGCGAGCCAAGACATGAAGAAAGTGTAGACAAGCCCAAGCTATCCGAGAAATATCATGACCGAACAAAGGCCTTGAAACGCGATGAATCGAGAGATCGCCTCTCGGTATCGGGAGATGGTCTCTCAAAACGACATCGAAATAGTATCACCCCAGATCGGCCAAGCGACATCGACAAGGACGAAGGGTCGGTAAAGCGCCGGCGACTGGAGGGTGACGGCCAGGAGAAGCGATCCCTGCCAAAGCGACCAGTCTCTGAAGAAGCCAAACCCCGCAAAGGTAGTATATCTCGGGATAACTCTTCCAAATCGTCGGCTCTCTTGCCCAGAAAACATCGCGAGGACGACCAACCCAAGAGTAATCATGATGAGCGGGACCCCAAGCGAAAAGACTCTGTCCGAAATGCATCTGGCGAAAAGTCGATACGAGTCAAGCAAGAAGATGACGATGTCGAAATGCCAGACGCAGACCATGTCAAGGAACAGGCGGCACCTCGTGATCGAAGAAATCGAGAAAACGAGGAAGAACAAGGCAAGGAGAAGGAGGCTGCCGAGAAAGAGGACGCCCTCAAAGAAGAGGAACGAAGGCGTGCCAAAGAGGAGAGGAAGAAACGGGAGGCTGAAGAGGCTCGTCAACGAGAAGAAGAGACCAAGAAGCGAAAGGAGCAGGAAGAGAAAGACCGGAAGAAACGAGAAGAAGACGAGGCGCGCAACAAGCTTCGTGAGAAGGCTGAGCGTGAACGGCGCGAGGCTGAAGAGGCTGCGGCCCGTCGGCGCGAGGATGAGGCCCGCCGCTTAGAGGAAGAAAGGAAGAAG